ATCTGATACAGCGGTTCCTTTGGAACCGCCTCTTGAGGCGGTTCCTTCTGAACCGCCTCAGCCAGCCCATCATGGGCCGGCTCTTGTATACCAAAGGAGGCAATTTCGCCTCCTTTCTTGCCCAAATTAAATTACCGCCTAAGGGTGGGGTCCACGGGATTTGAATTTATTTAAAAATTATTTTTAGGAAAGATTTGAGGAGGTGGAAAAGTCTTTAAATAGGAGAGGTAAGGGGTAGGGAAGGGCATGCAAGTATTGTTTTCTTCTTGGAGTTTCTTGGGTGTTTTGGGCTCTAGACTCTCTTGTCTAGAGATTTGGGAGAGACGATCCTCCTCGAATTGAGGATCACTTGTATCTTGATTTCGTGTTGCTTTTGCTTTGTTTCCCTTATTGCAATTTAGTTATTTGGGGCTGATTTCGCCCAGATTTTGGCTGAATTCTCGCTGTTTTATCTCCAATTAGTGATAGGTTTGCTTACGAACTCAAGTATTCCCTTAGGGTTACTTGCGAACTCAAGTATCTCCTATCACGATCCCTCCTAGACTAGCTAGGGTTTATAGTAGGCCGAATAGAGTTCCACCTGGATTTAGATCCGCTCCCTTTGGGGATTTGCTATGTTTTGTATGTTTTAAGTAGATTGTTTATCCTAGGGTTAGGGTTATGTTTTGCTGAATTTAGTTTTATTAAGGTTGAGAGGGCTATAGCCAACGCCTAGGGATTTGGGAGAGCAAGATCTTCCTCTCCAATTGAAGTTCTAATTGTATATTGTCTTTCTTTCATAGCTATTTCAATAAAAAGTGTTCTTCTGTGTTTTTCCTCCTATTTTCTCTTGTTGCCAATTTCTAGTTTTTGCTGAAATTAAATTCCAAACAAGGGATTTAACAAATTCTGCATCCACTTCGTATCATTTTAACATATGTATAAGATGACTATAATGTGCATATCAAGATAAAAGCCTTAAATGATTTGATTCAAAGATAATTTGATAAGCATGTGGTGGCCACCTAAAAAATCCAATAAATAAATCACTTATCATACGATGATCTAATATAAATGTGCAAATTATCTCCAAGCTTATGCAATCAAAGACAAATTTACCAATCAAAGTGAAAGGAAAATGATACGCCATATTAGAAAATCCAACCTTTGTTTAAAATAAGAGTGAGTTTATCATTAACAATAGTGAGCGACTTTTGTCTAGTCAAGATCTTTTCTATGCAAAGAAACCTTCCTAATAGCACCAGTGAGTGAAAGATTATAGTTTTGAGAGGCGAAGCACCAACATCCGAAGAAGTATGGAATGCAGGAGTAGGCGGGTGATTGACAACCATTGAACGATCAAGAAATGACTAGAAACATGTAGTGGGGTCTCAAGGCGAATAAGAGGAAGCACTATTGAAGGGGGCGAAAAAGTTCCATAAAGTGAGATGAAGGGTACTTAGGGTGGTTGTTTAAATAGTGGAATTTATAAATTGCTTTCTATTCATTAGATAATAGTGGTGGATTTGTATATTATATGATTATGATTTAGAATTGTAAGAATAATTCCATATGTATATTATATGATTATGATTTAGCATTGTAAGAATAATTTTGTAGTATCATGTCCTATCTGGTTAAATGAAATAGATTTTAGAATGCAATGGATTTTAGGAAGTGTTTTTTGAATTGTGATTGTTCAAATGCGAGGGTGTATCAAGAGACGAGTGTTAGACCGGTCCATTGGTCCAGTCCAGCCGGTCCACGCTGGACCGGCCCAGCGGAGAACGGGTGGAACATCTCCGCCTCTACCGTCAGCCGCACGCACGCGATGTTTGAGAGCTCATTTTAGGAAGGTTTTTGAATGGATTCTAGGAGGGAAATTGAATGTAGGGATTGTTTAGGGATTTCCTTTTGATTTGTATGCATTAAATACTTTGTTTTCCTAGGGTTTGGGCATCTTGAATTTGGCTGAAATTTGAGATATCTTAGATTTAGGTTTTCTTTGGGCTCTAGCGGCGTCTAGAGATTTGGGAGAGATCGATCCTCCTCTCGAATTGAGGATCAATTGTATCTTGCTATTTTATTCATCGTCTAGTGGAATACAAGCTTTCCTTTGAGTTTTCTCTCAGAATTTCCCTGGATTGGTGCTGTCTTTCTGCTGTAAACAGCAGATTTCTGCTGTTTTCTGTTCCGGACAGCAATATCTTCGCTGTTTGATCTCCGATTTGAGTTAGGGTTGCTTGCGAACTCAAGTATTACCTTAGGGTTACTTGCAAACTCAAGTATTTCCTATCAACGAGCTACTGATAATTGAGCATGGCATGGATTTTTGTTGGTTAATATGTAGTAAATTAAGTAGAAATACAACAAATTAGTTATTTAGCTATTTTAATGAGACAAAAGAAGGATCATTTATGAAAGGATTAATAAGTTGTGCTTGGCTATTGTGAAATCCATGCATAATTTTGTCCAGTTGAGACCCACACTTACTAAAACTTTTGTCATATTTCTTTTTTTTTGTTGCCACCTCATTTGTGGTATACCAATTGTATACTCGCAATTTGTAGATTGCAATTATTTTGTAATTATTTTTTTTTTATTTTGTATATTTTTTATTATAAGCTCCACTATGTTTGTATAAGTATTATATAAATGTTAGAATATAATACTTGACTAATTCTTATCATGGTATTAAAGCCTTTCGTTTTTTCTCTTTCTTGTATTTTCGTTATTTTAGCCTTCATTGCCACATTACCTTAAGCGTGCTGCCTTCATTGCTACATTATCACGTTATTGTAGACTTCGTTGTTGCATTACTCCAATCGTGCAACATTCATTGTAGCGTAATCACAATCATGCGGTCTTCATTATTGCACACTCTTTCGTTTCACCTTTTTTTATTACTTCAGTCGTCATCGTTCAATTGCAGTTAACCTTCATTGATGCATTATTCTAAACTATTCCCATTTTTGCAACATTCATAATTGCGATGCACCAATTTTTTTCCTTTTATATTTTTCCTAATTGAAAAATCATAAATTTTCTCTCCATGTATAACATAACAATGTCAACATACTGATGCGATCCGCCTCCCGTCAGCAGAGGGAGGGAGACCTTGTCCTTCTCGAAGTGAACAAATTGTATATTGTTTCTTTTGGATTTCTAATGCAAAGGTTCTTGTTCTTCCTCTCATCCCTCTTGTGTTTATTTTTCTTGGATTTGGTGGAGAAATCTTTTCTTTGAAGGAGCATTAGGGCAAATCCAAATTTGGGAACCCTAGGGCGTATCACATACCCTTGATCTTAGGTTCTCTTGGAATTGAGAGATGTATCGGAAAACATACATTCAATATGCCTATAGAATGAGAAGAATTATCTAAAATGGTTGCGATTGGTTTGTAGATTCTTAAGGAGAAGAAGAAAATTGAGTCATTCACTAGATATAAAAAGACATAAAAGGCTTATTAGGAACACTTAAACTAAAACATTTATTGTAGGTGAATAACTTACTGACATTTTTACCAAAGGATTATTATGATTAGTAGTTCAAAAAATTGCAGACAAGCCTATAATTGATTATTTCATTCATTCTCTTGAGGGAGAGTGTGAAACGCCTGCATGGTTTCCAATAGTTAGGACCAACATTCACCAAAACTTCTGTCCTTCGTTTTTTTCCATCACTACATTATCAATTTGTGGGATCTCTATTGCTTACTTATCAATCTGTGAACTATTGTAATTACTTTATAATTATTATTTTGTCTACTAATCAATATGTGGACTATTATAATTATTATGCAATTATTATTTCCTGATTGTGTATTTTTCTTATTAGAAGATCTCCTAAGATGCATAAATATTACACAAATGTTGGAATAAAATTCTTAACTAATTTTATCATTTATGAAGCTATTTTCATACATTTTGGCGCAGGTAGAAGTAGGATGGTTTCTAAGATTTTGTATTTTTTAGAAAATTGGTCAATTTGACTTGGTAGACATGGAAAGTTGATGGTGAAATAATAATTATGACTACCAGACTTGGATGTGATGGTGTGGTACTCTTGATTAAGTTTTCTCTCTATGTATGTATTGGAGATTTAAGTGACAATAATCAATGAATGTAGAAATGGATATTAAGAGCCATAAGGACTATAGGATATATATGTATGATGACTTAAAGTTGAACTAGATTTGTCTATGGTTTAACACTATTTTTTACCTTGATCATTTTATCAAATCGATTTACGCTGTTCTAGAATGGGTTAGTATAGGAATCGACGTTAAGCGTCTTCACTTAGGCTTATTAGGTGGACAAAAATTCAATATAAACATTAGTTGCTAGGCCTTAATGCGTGGTGCTCAGCTTGGCCATGTGTGCGCGTTCATTCATAATTCCATATCAAGGAAGTATCTTTTTCATGTTTGGCAACTGCACGTACAACCGTTGGTGCCTGTAAATAAAGAAGGGGTATAAAAACAATGGAGAGCTTTTTTTTTAAATATTGGAGATAAGCATCAAAAGTCAAGAAAGAGAAAAGTGCAAGAAGAAGAAAGGTAAGAAAGCCAATCAAATGGCCAACAATAATTCTATACCAAATTTAGCCGACCAAATGGCTGAACTGATAGTTGGATCAAATTTCAGAATAGAACATGATAAGGATGGATTTGAATTTTTTTAGACTGTCTGGATAAACCAGTTTTTAGGATTTCGATTGGAGAATTTTTGCTCGAGTTATCATTTAATTTATGCTTATCTTGGTGATTATTTGGAGAAAAACTTGTTGCTGTTCCGTAGGAAAATTATACCAAAATAACTGATTCTAACCACATGACTCCTTGGCTTGAATTTTGCTACTTTTAATATGATCTTCATAAATATCTTTGCATCTTCTTCACGAGATTATCTTCTGTAATATATTTTGTTCTTTTGCTAAAATATTCCCTTATACATAATGTGATGATCTTCATTGCTCAATTATCTGCAGACAGACTAAAATCGTGTTGTTTTGTTTGTCAGGCATTCAAGCGGTTGAAGAAGCACAGTTTGGAGGCATCAAAAGAAGTTGTCGGTAGAAGCTCCATCGGTGGAGGAGTTTGTCCTGCACCATCGACGATGAGGCGTCACCCTTTAGATTCCACGTTAGACAAATCGGGGAGGAATAAAGAAATGGAGCAGCAGAAGTTATATAATAAGCATAGGCGGAGGGAGAACCGTGCGCACTATTTGCCAGTTTCCAGTGCAGAATCACCTTCTGCAGTAGAGCTCGGCCCAAAGCGGCTAAAAGTTAGAGGCCCTTCCTTGTCTGCCGCCATTGTTGAGCAGAGCAGTTTCTGCTGCAGATTTTCTGAGAGCGATGAGAAGGAAGACATTTCTCTCAGAGCGTGATCTGATAGTGTGATGGTTGCTAACATTAACTACGGGAAATGGGTTTGGCACTTAGATCAGATTAAGTTCACATAATTGATTCTTTGTGCAGGCCTCAAATTGAGGCTCTGCCACCACCTGATTTTTAGTTTATCAGTACTATTGCCCCTCTTATTTCTACCTTTTTTTTCTTTTTAATGGCTCAGATTCCCGGAGTGATTCTGGGGATAGTTTTAAGTGTAAAAAAAAATTGTTGATATTAATTCGATTATTGTAGGTAGGTCATCCCTGCCACAAAGTCAGTTTTACCTTAATTCCTTTCATTATTTGTACTGCAAAATCTAACAATTCGAGCTAGGATTCATGGTATGTGTTGTTAAGCCCTATACCTCATGCAAGGATTGAAAACCACCTCCTTCCTCTCCTCACATTGCCCACTTCTTAATACTTCTACATTTACCCTCTTATAAATGCCTAATAGTATATTACCATTATGGATCATTTTATATATTGAAATAATTTTTTTTTTAATTTAAATTATGATTTGATCATTTCTAGTCATATATAGACAAATATCATTTGTGTTCTTAATTTTAATAATGCTAGTTAAAAGGAGTTTGTATTGTAAGTTTTGCTTCTTGAGCTCTCTCTATATATATTTTTATGACAGAGGTAATATCTAGCATAATTTGTTAAATTAAAAAAAAAATAGTCTTCATATTATTTTTGTGTGTAGCTATGTTAAAATTTGAACATTATATAGTTTCATATATATATGATAGTATTGTGGGCTTGGATATTCGCGGCACTAAAGTATTAAATTTGGTGTCTTAGTGTTGAACTAGTACTAAGCTCACAAAAGAGAGTAGAAACACTATAATTTTTTTCCGTAGAAAATCTTGAAGGAAAAATCATGAAGCCACACTCAATTGAAATGAATCCACTAATGTTTGAATAGATTACAAATGATGATTCATCTTTTAATTTGAGAAATATTAGTACTATAGTTAGTCGTTGGGTAGAAATCCAACAAACAAACAAAGCCCGGATGAAATTTCGACAACAGGCGGTAGCTGGTAGTAAATTCAGCGTTATGTTGTGGTCAGGTGGAAGCCCGGCGGCAATCGAAGGCCCGACGTAAGTCCGACGACGATCAGTTGCTGACCGTTAGTCGAAGAGAAGTCTGGTGGTAGGAGAGCTATCAGATTTCTCTTCCTTTCCTTCCTTGGTCCCCTTTCAATAAAGAATGATGAGTCTATTTATAATTTTTTAGGAGAGACATGACCAATAAATAGGAAGAAGATCATGGACATGTTGGGAGTATTTCAAATGGACGCTCGATACGACTCTCTAGATCATATAATGTTTATCGAGTATTTGAATGTCTTAATGATATTAGAATTCAACTATTTTTCGCTCGTTAGCATCTCACCGAGCCGCTCGATTTGATTATAAGCATAACACATTTAGAAATCGCTTGATCATCTAATTCATAGTTAAAAACTCCCAAATGTGCTTCAGATCTTCAATTTGGAATTATTTGTGCTCGGATTAGTCGAATTTAGCATAGTTGGGTTCGTCATTTCGAGACATTCATTTTGACTATAAATATGTCGAAATTAAAATTTGGATGGTCCTAGATTTAATTTTGAAAATTTTTAATACAAAATTGGCTCGAGGTTCATGCTCGATCATAAAAATTATTTGATAATGTATCAAATAAAATACTATTTTTTTCTTTAAATAAATTTACTTTAAAAAATCTTAGATTCTTGCATGTCAAGCAAACATGTATGAAATAAAATTTTATTTTTATATGTCGCGTAAAAATAAAATAAAAAATATTCGTGTGAATTATTTTTAAAGAATGTATAATTATTTCCCCCACAGATTACAGTCCCGATTGAAATTTTTTTTTTTGGTCGCCATTGTTTTCGCTGCAATTTGTTTCGAGAAGCCTACTGCTGATTCCCTTTGTATCGTCGTGAGAACTGGAGGACGATGCCGCTTTGGGGCGCCGGCGCGGACGGGCTTATAGTTCTCCCGCGTAGCCACTTTGTTGCCGCCGGGTTCAGGTCGCCGTCGCCGGACTTTAGACTTGTCCCTTCCATTCCGGTCGACTCCAAGACGTCCTTCTTCAACAAGGTACTTATATATTCATTCCCTCCTCGTTCCGAACTTTTCTTAAGTTTGTAGAACGTGGCTGGTCGTAAATATTATTTCGTTGGTTTTTGGGAAATTCAATTGGATATTACTTTTCCTGGATGAACTCGCTGCTCTTATGCTACATTCGGATACTTAAGCTTGGTAATTGCAGGGATAGTTTTGGAGAGTTAGGTTTGCTTATTCGCTTATTTCCAAGCAGGATGACAAAAGAATGTTCATTTGCGATGCCCATCTGCTTCGGTAATGCAATTTTTTTTTTCTTTGCTGAACAGAGCCTTATCCCGGCAATCATGCTATTCGATGATTCATGGTTCGGATGCTGCTGACTGTTCGATCGCGATCGAGATCCTGCAAAATTTAGGAGATCCAGCGATAATTAAATTTTGGGTTATGTAGAATGCCTTATTGTATATAAAATCGTCGCCCGGTCCCAACAGGGTTCCTCTTCCTCTAATGCTCGAGTCAACTAGGTAGTGATAGAGGTGGAGGTTCTCACAAAGTGGAAGGGAGGTGAATTTTTTAGAAAGTGCTAGGCTTATTAGAAGGAAACCATTATGAAGGCTTCGTGAACTAATCGTTTTTTTTTTTAATACCAAATCAGCCATCCTCCGATTCCCCCCTATTTCTTTAATTATTTTCTTCCCAAATCAACTCTCAAATTAGTCCCTAAATCTGTCATCTTCAATTAGGAAACATTTCCTAATTAATCTCCTTCAAAGCAGCCCCCAAATATGTCATATTCAATTAGAAAATATTTTCTAATTAATCCTCTCCAAATCAACTCCCAAATCAGCCCCCAAATATGCTTTCTTCAATTAGGAAACATCTTCTTATTAATTCCTTTTGATTAAGAACCTTCCTAAATAATTATCTCTTGATTAAGAAACTTCTTAATTCCCTCACAATCAAATCAGCTGGTCCATCAATACTCTCCTCCCAAAGTGCCACCTTGTCCTCAAGGTGGAACGAACGAAATTGTTGCTGAAGCACTTGACTAATACCATTGGATTGTAAAATGAATTGACACTTGGCCGAACAATTCCTACCTCGGGCATCTCCTTGATTAATCTCTCAATCTCTTTGTTCTGGACTTGGGGATGATGACATAGACGAATACTTATAGGTGAGACTCCTTCCTTCAAGATGATAACATACTCGCATTCCCACGAAGGATTCAACCCTTGAACTTGCTGGAACACCCCTCGATAAAGTTGTAGGGGTGGTAGAATCATGTCTAGTGCTTCTATCTTCTCCCCATCCTTTTCTCCTTCCAAATTCTACAGCTCCACTAAAAGTTCCACTCATTCAGCCTCTTCTCTCCTTGGAAGTGGCTCCAAAAGTAGCATCCCCTCTTCTTCCCCCAACATTTCCATCTCTTGATCGTTTCCTCTCTTTATCATATTAGGGTTTCCTCCACTCCCTTGGTCATTGTTGGCTTCCCTTGCCTCTGGCGACGCCGTTTTGATTTGGCCCTCGAGCACTTTCTTCAGCGTCTTCTCTAGGATGAAAAATTTTGAATCGAACTTATCATGGAGGACTAAAATATCTTTTTTTAAATCTGAAACTTGAGTTTGGAGATATGAAATTTTAGATTTTATTTGTCCGATCTCCCATTCCAATACTTCTACTTTTCTTCGAGCCATGGGTGTCCGGATCGAAGAGCTCTGATACCAATTTGATAGGAAGAGCTTGCAGAAATTTAGAAAAAACCTTGAACAATCTAATTAAGAAAACTAACGATAAGAAAATCAAGAATAAAACACACGAACACTTTTTTATTGAAAGGTTTTTGAAAGCAAAGATAAGATATAAGTGGATCTTCAATTGGAGAGGAAGATCAGACTCTCCCAAATCTCCAACCGCCGGCTAGAGCCCAAACACCCTAAAAACAATCTAATTACATCAAACAACACATAACCCTAACCCTAGGAAAATCACCTATTTAAAAGTAAACAATAACTAGTAAATACCAAAATAGCCCTTCACAAATTCCCTCATATTTCCTCAATTATTTCCCTCCCAAATCAACTCTCAAATAAGCCCCTAAATCTGTCCTCTTCAATTAGGAAACATTTTCTAATTAATCCCCATATTCAATTATGAAAAATTTCTCTCTTAATTAGAAAACTTAATTCCTTCACAATCAAATCAGCTGGTCAATCACTATCATCACCATTCTTGGTTTGCATATCAACCATCTTGTTTAACTACTAAATAAATGTGAATTTTTGAATATTCAAGCCACTCAAAAGCTAAATTTCATGATAATCATATAATATATCTGTAATATTTCCAATATCTTTTACTTCATTTTTAGATATTTTGTAATGAAATAAATGCATGATAATTTTCCTTCAAAATATCCTAAACTTAAAAAAGAAACAACCTTTCACATAAAACTTACCTTAATGTGGATGGTAAATTCTCCTGATCTCCTACTCACGTGATGTCTTAATTTCTTCTATCATATATCTTGCCACTTTGTTCAATATCTTATATATGAAAAATAAAAAATAAAAATAAAAATACATTACATTGTCACTGCTTTGGGGGTGGGGGATTTTTTCTCCTGTTCTTTGTTACTAGGAGGTATTGTTCAATTCTTTTGGTTGGCGAAGTTTTGTCGAGTGTGGGAACATGCATGATAGTCTTGTGTGCTAAGAATTGTAGTGTCATTGGTCGCCTCTTCTACGACCCTAATTGGTAGTCTTGTTCATTGCCTACTAGGGAGAAGCTACGCTTGTTCCTTCTCTCGCGCTTGCAATCTTTGCTCCTCTTCCTCATTGCATCATTTCTAGGGCGAAGTCTTCATCCTCTCCTCTTTGTCCATTTTTTTTTGCTGTTCCTTTTCGTTCCTTTTGGTCAGGGAAGCATTTTCGAGTTCGGGAATATGCGTGATAGTCTCTTGCGTGTGACTCCAAGATATGTAGTGTTGTTACTCATCCCTTCTCTAAGCTTGCACAGTAGTACCACTTGTTGCCTGCACAGCTGAAGCTGCACCTGCTCCCTCTCTTGTGAGTTATGCATGCTCCGTGATTGATGAATCATGAAGAAAAAATACCCTACAAGTTATGCATGCTTTGTGAGCTCTCCATTGATCCAAAAGAATTTCTATTAAATTTAACCTTAAATTTGAATACTGGGACCATTTTGGTCACCATTAAAAGGGTTTGGGGATCAAATCAAGACTTTTATATAGTTTGAGACCATTTTGATTTTTTTTATCAAAACCAAAATATGACAAAATATATTGTACACTAAATAGATTAACAAATACCCTTGGGCACGCAGGGGCATGCAGGACATTGCCGGCCACATCCTATGAATTTCTTGGCTATTCATATGCAATCATCAAGTTAGTCATAACCAATGTGAAAAAATAAAAATTTTATTCTGCTTTTTGAATCTGGAAAGTCAATGGTTGGAAGTCATATTCCGGGTTTGAATATGTTCAATTAACGTGGCAGTTGTAACGTTCTAACGGGCATGGTGAGATGCAAGTAGAATTATTCAGACTGTTTCATGGGGACTAGTATATGTATTTTTGGCTACATTCTTAATTGGAACAGTCTTGCTGAAGGTAGTAGTGATAGAAGTTAGATGCTGGATATCTGGGCCCATTAGTGATGGTGAGAGGACGCGAAGGAAAGCTTATCAAAGGTTTACACACTAGGGCTGCTTGGAAATGGCCTATTGACAACTATAGGGTAGTTTGAGTTATGAAATGTTTTAGCGACTACCATTTTCCCTGTATTTTTATAAATTGGATTTGATGCTCTTGTTCCATCTTTTTCCTAGTTGGATGGAGGTTTTATGAATTATTTTTCCTTCTCTTCCTTCCTTTATTAATCTTACGACACCAATTTTTCTTTCCATTCTTCTAATAAATCCAGTGCTTCCACTGCTACATCGTTAACATAAGTACACTGTTTAAAATTTCAGTGCTGTCATTTTGGCTGGCCTAAGATTGGAACTTGTTTGGAGAGTCGCCACTTTCAGAGCTTAAAAGTAAGAGCATTAGAGAATTCTTCTGGGCAGAGCCAGATGCCCGTCGCTCCTCTCCAATTCCAATCTCCTACAGGTCAACTTCTTTCCCAGATTATGCAAACCCATCCCCATCTACTTCCAGCGGCCATTGATCAGCAGCTTGATCAACTTCAATCAGATCGAGATACACAAAAATTGGAAAAGCCTCCACCTTCACAAGACCCTCTCCTTTACAGGTTACTAATTTGCACAGATAATTTAGTCACATTTATATAAATAAGTTTTTCCCCTGCATGCTATATCCAAGTGAACGAAAAAAAAAATCAATTATCATTCCTTCTAGATTTTTGAAGTGTAGCTAATTATTGTAGCAGAATTAAAATCCTGTTTCAGTTTATTAATTGTGTTGTATTTTTGTTTTGAACATGGATATCTTCATCAGCTAACATTGCAACATGCCTGATTTTGTCCAGAAATTATGGATAGGGTATATACTGTCATCTCCTCGAATATATTAAGTGGTAATAATGAATACAATCAGCTTATAGTGCAGATCCAAAAAATTTCTTCTTATATGTAAACAGCAGATCTTGTTTTTTTTTTTGGGGGGGGGGTTTAGGACTTTTAAATTTCTGGGAATTTGCTTGTTTAAAGACATAGAAAGCTTGTTATTAAAAATGTAGTACTTTTTAAGGGGAAGTTGAATAATGATGCAATATAAGTAGTTTTTAAATGACAATAGCGATTTTCATGTTCCGCATATTTTCAACTTAATTTTGACCTTCCGCATAATTTCATGTTCTGCATATTTTTATCCTGTAATATATGTAGTTTTTATTTCAGTTTCTTTTTGGTTTTGTATTAAGCCAACTGCTATATCATTGTAGGGCTACTTTTTTAGGCCACCATGAATGATTAATTTTATTATCACGCTGTTCATTTAATTCATAATTAGGAGACTAACCTATGGTTCCCTGCACTAGATATGCATGGTATCTAGTAAATTAATGTGATATTAATATGCGCACATAACTGTCCTAAAAGCATGCATGAAGCAAGTCTCCTGGATTCCAATAAATAGATACATTTAACGGTGGTTCCTGTTGATAATTTGGTTTTCTATATGCATCGCCAATTCTGGGAAGAATATTTTTACGAATTTTACAAATAAGTTCCTTGTCCACTTGTTTTTTCTTGATACTTAGAGTAGTGCCTGTCCACTACAAATGTCAAATTCATGATAGATTACTATGCTATTGAGATTGTGGTGGTAAAGGCGCATTTTTCAACAGTCGACAAATAGTTTCTCTTATAACATATTCACTCATACTCTTTCTTTACCAAACAAGCAGAAAACTTTGTGATGAATTGGATGTTAAATGAAACTGTTTGGCATTCCTTTACGAGAAATTACATGGTTAACGCGTCATGTTCATGTTTCCATAATTTAGCGTTTTTACTTCTAAATGCTGTAAATTAGAAATGTACATAAAGGTCATCATACTTGCAATCAAAATAACAATCATTATTTACTATTAACCATTAAAATCTTGTAAAATTCCTAAAATTGTTAATTAGAGCGCTAGCAGCCTTCTCAATGCAAAACTAGTATTCTTTTGTTTTTCAGGATGTAATTTCAATTTTAAAACTCAATTCATCTCAAGTTGAATCCTGAAATAAAAGACAACTAAACATCAATGAAGAGAGCAAATGCATAATCCAATTCAGATTTGAAACGTACATTTCAAGTTTAATGCTAAAATCAAACATTATAAACCCATTTTCAAAGAGAAGAAAATGCAGTGTAAGCAACCACACCCACCCATCTTAATTGACTGTAATGAGAAGCATGCATTTATAAAATTAAAAACAGAGGGGTTGCTTGAGATATTCAATGAAAGAATTACTTATAGCACTGTTTTGAGAAATATGGATGCTACGAATGTATCACAATATTGTCAAGAGAACAATGCTAGTGGGATAGGTAGAGGGTTGTATTGTGGTACGGGGTACATGGCACGAGTGGACAGAAAGAAAAGCAAAGAATAAATAGAGAATATTGATAAATAGAATGAGGCATTTAATGAGGGGGATAGGTTGTTGGGTGAAGGCAGGGAGGGAGTTGTTCTTTCATTTTTATTTTCCACGTGTTCTTTTTTCTCTATAAAATTACAGGCTTTTGACAGATTATTTTCTTTCTCTTATTAAATTATAGAATTGCGGCTTTTTATCTCAGTCAGTTTGTCAGATCACCCATTTGGTACGGAGCAAGCTTTAGGTTGAATCCTCTTCAAAATGATAGTGTTGGTTGCTTACTATCTTGAAAGGTGGAACAACTTGCAGTAGGCGCTTTTTGGTGGGAAATAACATTAAACCTCTGTTGCTTAACTAAAAAATTGCTACTGGTTGATGCAGGAAAAATATAATCTAGTATGAAATGGAAGTACTCAGATGATTACACTGATAATTCTTCAAATTCTTTTTAGAATAGTGGAAAAGTAGAAGAAATCATTTTAAGTTTTATTTTTTGATTATGTACAAAATGTGAAAGTATATATAGACTTCTTTAAAAGTTTTACAATAGAAATAAATCAAAATTATTTGAAAAAAAGAAAAAAGTGTTCGAGAGGGCCACCGGCTAGAAGAGGAAGAGTAGGATCACTGATTACAATATGAGGGTCATAAAATAATTGATCAAACAGTTAAAACCCTTAATTTGCATGCTCAAGGACCCCTAAGATTGGTTGACTTATGGTCGCCCCCAAATTGGATGGTATAAATCTACAATTCTAAATTGCTTACAATATTTCTTGAACGTGGGGCGAGAAGAGTTTTTTTGTGAGAATATTTACAAGTTGATTTTTTGTTGACATATATGGAGTGCATATCAACCCACTTTTCGGTTTTTCTTTTATGAAATGTGTATTCACCTTCACATGTATAATTATGTTATATTAGAATATGAGTAATGTTAATGGCAGATTTATTATCACATCTATAACCTTAAGGCTCCAAATCTCCAACTGAGGCACCATCTCCAAGGAACAAGTACTCTAATGTATCTCTCAATATTTTGTGATCAAGGATCATATCCTTTGGCATGCAACCTCGTTTTCCTCCTATGCAACCTCGTTTTCCTCCTATGCAACCTCTTTTGTTAATCCATTCACGTTGACACTCATTTTTCTCTTTATGGATCAACATCCTTAGAGTCACAAGGGCCTGTTGCCAGTAATGTCTTAGAAGGGGGAGGCATCAGGCAAGGCATAAGCCCCATGATTTTTTGTATTTTTAGTATTCATAAATAGAAAGCATGATAAAAGAATCAAATATAAGGAAAAAATTTTAAATTCAATGTCCATACTCATTTCATTCATATTATGACATTCAAAATGTATTAACACAAACATAAATATTGTTTGAAAATTTGACTGTAAAGTGCCTGATTGGGAAGGATAAGCAAAATAATTTCATATAAATATCCAAATGCATAAAAAGAACAAGCTAACATCTGTATCTTTAAGTTCTCAAAATCCCAAAAGATATATCCGTATAAACTATAAATATCACAAAAAATTTCTAATTATCTTATGAATTCAACCCTTTTGAAATGCTTTAGAGATCCATTGAGAGGTGGTGAGGAGCCAAGGCTTCTTGTTGCTTTAGTTAAAGATACTACTTAGATTCACTGAATTGTGTTCTTGCAACCAAAGATTCAATGAGCCAAGACGGTTGAGTATTGCTCATGCTTCAGGCAGTTTAGTAAGTCATTATCATTTGAAATGAAGTATATTTTTAAAAGTGTAACCTTTTAGCAATGAAGGTTTATTTATAAAATTCATCTAAATTATTTTCGTGCATATCTTGAAATATATTTGATTTATTTTCCTTTACATATTAGTTAAAAAGTCTAGTAACAACTAAAATTAATATTGAACTTTCAAAGCTTTTAAAATTGTCTTAGCTAAAGCTCCTCCATTCAGGAGTAGAAAGTTAAAACAAAGTATTAAAACCTTGATATTGATGTCGGGTGGACAATTGACATATCTTGGCATGCATGAAATCAATCAGTATTATACGCCGTTGGGCACAATGATGATGTTGGATCACTGATATGATTAATACCGGCATATCTAGATGGATAATAATGCATCACTGATATGATTAATGCCGACATTTTTAGATGGATAATAATAGAACAGTTATCAAATTTTTGCATCTGTCAAAACTTTTTTGATAGTTTTTTGGCCTTTATTAAAACTCAGAAAGAAATATTTAGTATAATTTATTTCCTTTCTGATCATAAATTTAAGACTGCATTATTTGAACAATCTAGATTCAGTTAGTTTGATTCATAGGTTATAGACTTGTAGTGACGTTTTCTGGAAAAAATGAATGTCATCAATGAAGTTTTTTTTCTCTTTTATAGCTGCAACAATTTTTTTCAAAACCAAAAAACTCGAGGCTTTACTCTTTTTTGGAGTGACTCCTAGAAAGTGAAGATGATCTTTTTTCTGCTTAGAATAATTCCAAAATGTTATCTCAAACAACATCAAATCTTCTTCTTCCCCTTTCCGTCTTGCATCAGCTTTGATATCAAAGATTTGGTTGTGATAATCTTTGTTTTTAGTGTGAAGAAATGCACGGAGATACATTGAATTTTTGGAAGTTTCTTTTTTGATGGTTACTTATAAGATGAATTGGCTTTAAGTAGAACAGATAGGAAAAAACTTCGTTTCTCAAAGCCTGATTCATCCATTAGTCTTAATCAAGCAACCAAAACTATACAACAACAACAAACAGCAACATCAAACTTCTATCCCACTACATGAGGTCAACTACATGAAATTTTTTTCTCCGTTGTGTTTTGATAAAAAGCAACCAAAACTATGTGGCAAATAAACAAAATTGCTTAAGAACTTATTATTGATGTAAACAAACGAAGTATCTTTAGAGAAAATTAGTGTCAAAAGGATCTTTAGAGAAAATCAGCAATTGTAGGAATATGTTACCTTTTTTATTTCTATTCTCCACTGCCATATTTTCTCTTTCTGTTGTAATAGTACTAAAAGATACTTTTAGTTGTTTTGTTCCTCTATAGTAATAGTTGGTTTTTTGGCTATATATGTTGTAAGAAAAGAATTAGAAATCACGGAACATATATAAAACTAAGTTGTTCGTGAGAATTTCTTCTCTCTTGATTCTGTCGTGTCTTCTTGAGTTTGACTACCACATCAAATTATGAGAATTTTTTAATTTTTGATCTTTTTGGATTATAAATAGGATCCTGATAGACCAGTCCAGGAGGGATTGATCTAGCCAACTCAACACTTGGGCTGGCCCCTTGTATACAACAAGCTGTTTACGCTGCTGGTGGGTTCCGCCCACCCTCCTGTGGGGCCCACACTTAAGTGGAAAAGAGAAAGAGGGATTACGAGGGCTGTTTAGTCCTTTTGGAGTTATTTTGTGTGCTTTATGTAGGAGGTTGGAATTAGGATTAGGGTTATCTTGAGTTTTATGATTTTTGGATGGTGCTTTGATGTTCTTGGGCTCTAGTGGCGTCTAGAGATTTCGGAGAGACGGATCCTCCTCTCGAATTGAGGATCAATTGTATCTTGCTATTTTCTTTCATCTTCTGTTCAATTACGAATATTTTTCTGGTTTTTCCTCCTTTAAATTCTCAAAACCTGTTTAGCAAGATTTCTAAAATTTTGATTTCAACAATCATTTTTTGTTTCTATGACTATTTTCTATCAAATTGGTATCATAACATTTTTTTTGGACCTATGACAACAAAAAAAGTTGATGCTTTGGAAGAACATCTTAAAGGAAAAGTTGGCCAACGCAAATTGGCATTTGAGGTAGGGGTGTCAATTCGGGTCAACAGTTCGGGTTAGGGTCGAACTCGACTTGACCCGGCCGTAAAGGGGTTGACCCTAATCGGACCCGGTTTTGCAAACAGGTCAGGTTGATCAACCCGGACCGGACCCGTGCGGGTTACCGGGTTAACTCGACCTAACCCGCGAACAGTTGCGGAGCGGAGTATCATCAATGGAGGAAAAGTTTTCAAACCTAGAAGGAATGATAAAGAAGTTATTGGATCTTCACGTCAAAGGACATTGTCAGCGTTACCGACATTCAATTCCTATCAAGTAGAGCTGTTAACAAAGCATGAACAAATTTGCTAGAGTAACTGAATCTGATGCAAAGTTTTGTTTGATAAATCCTGCTTATACCGGGCATGCAATATTCCAAAGCCTCTATAGTTTCTCAATCTCAAGTGAACAGGAATTCAATGACCTCACCTTGGATAATTTGTTTCATTTTAGTTGAACATTATCAATTACATTGACAGATGACATGGAGGTGATTTTGGAGCCATTTCCAAAGAGGGAAAATGTTGAAGGAATGAGATTTTTGGAGGAGCTATAGAGTTTGGAAGGCGAAGAAGATGGAGAGGAGAGAAGCAGCAGACATAGTTCAACCACTCCTACGACAATGTCAAGAGGGGTTCCAGCCAGTTCAGGGGTTTCCTCCTTCGTGGGAACACGAGTATGCTATCTTCTAAAAGGAAGTAGTCTCACCTATCAGTGTTCATTTGTATCGATTTCCCCTGAATGATGAGATCAAGAGATTGATCAGGGAGATGTTGGAGGTAGGGATCATTCGACCCAGTGTTAGTTCATTTTTCAGTCCAGTGCTATTAGTCAAGCGTTTCAGCAGTAGTTTTCTTCGTTCCACCTTGAGGACAATGTGACACTTTGGGAGGAGATTATTGATGGACAGGCCGATTTGATTGGGTGGGAATTAGGAAATTTTCTAATCAAGTGGGAGTTGTTTAGGAAGACTCTTAATCAAAACCTAATTGAAGAGAGAATATTTGGGGGCTGATTTAGAGGGGATTAATTAGGAGATCCTAATTAAAGAGAGAATGTTTGGGGGCTGATTTAGAGGAGATTAATTAGGATTTTTAATTGAAGAGGGTAGATTTGGGGATTTAGGGGATGATTTTGAGGTGATTAATTAGGAAATGTTTCCTAATTTAGGGGCCGATTTGAAAAATGTTTCCTAATTGAAGAGGGCAGATTTAGGGGCTGATTTGGGAGGGAAAAGAAATAAGAAAATAGGAGCGAATTGGGGAAAGACTGTTTGGGTATTTATTGTTTATTATTTGGTTTAAATAGGTGATTTTCCTAGGGTTAGGGGTATGTGTTGGTTGCTGAAATTAGACTATTCTTAGGATATTTGGGCTCTAGCTAGCAGCTAAAGATTTGGGAGAGCCGGATCTTCCTCTGAATTAAAGATCCAATTGTATCTTGTCTTTTTTTTTTTTTCATAAAACTTTCAATAAAAGTGTTCTTGTCTGTTTTATTCCTGATTTTCTTATCTTTGATTTTCTGAAATTAGATTTTAGCCTATGTTTTTTCTAAATTTCTACAAGCACTTCCTATCAAATTGGTATCTGAACCACTAGAGTTATACAACTTGTTCAGAGTTGCCGGCCATGCTAACTGAGGAATTAGAAGTGGTTCTAAAACTGTCAAATAGAACTGTAAACAAAGCATGAACAAATTTGCTAGAGTAGTTGAATCTGATGCAAAGTTTTGTTTAATAGATACTCCTTATACAGGGTAATAATCCAAAGCCTTTGTAGTTTCATAATCTCATGTGAAAAAAAATTCAATGAACTCTCCAATGAAGAATCAAGTTCATGTCAGCTCAACAGTACTATTACATTAACATATGGCATGGAGGTGATTTTGGAGCCACTTCTTAAGAGGGGAAAGATTGAAGGATGAGATTTTTGGTGGAGCTTCATAGTTTGGAAGAGGAGGAAGATGGGAAGAAGATAGAAGCACTAGATATGGTTCAGCCCCTCCTACAATAGCATCGATAGGTGTTTCAGCCAGTTCAGGAAGTAGCTCCTCCGCGGGAATACGAGCATGCTATCATCTTAAAAAAAGTAGTCTCACCTATAAGTGTTCCTCCGTACTGTTATTCCTAAATTCAGAAGGATGAAATTGAGAGATTTATTAGGGAGATGCTGGAGGCAGGGATCATTCGACTTAGTGTCAGTCCATTTTATATTCAAGCACTATTAGTCAAGTGCTTCAGAAGTAGTTTTATTCGTTCCACCTTGAGGACAAGGTTGCATTTTGGGAGGGGAGTATTGATGGAATGACCGATTTGATTAGGATGAAATTAGGAAGTTTCCTAATCAAGAGGAAGTAGTTTAGGAAGGTTCTTAATCGAAGGAGAATTATTTAGAAATATTTTAATTACAATTAGGAGTGAAATATTTAGGGTAAGAGATCTAATTTGAATTCAAAATTTAAGAGGGAATTGTTTAAGGAAAAGGAGGAATTAAATGGGGATTGTTTAAGAAAATTTTAATTACAATTGGGGAAATAAATTTAATTTGATTTCAAATATGAGAGGGAATTATTTAGGGAAAGTGGACAAATTTAGGAGGGAATTATGTGAGCCTATTTAAAGCTAGCAATAGGGTGATTTCAGGATTATGTTTGGAATTTGCTGAAATTAGAATTTCTTACATTGTGAGGGCTCTAGCCGTCGGCTAGGAATTTGGGAGAGCCGGATCTTTCTCTACAATTAAATATCTAACTGTATCTTGTTGTTTTCTTTTATGTATCTTGCAATAAAAAGAGTTTTGACGTGTTTTTCTTCCTAATTTCTTATTATTGTTGGCTGATTTTGAGGAAATTGTATCTACTTCCCACCAGGTACTCTACAATTAATATAAATTAGTTTTCAAAATTTAAGGAACTTTCCGATGTTGTTTCAATATTTTCTCTCAACCTGGTGCATATGTTTAGTTTTGCACACCACAAATATTTCTACCAACTCTATATCACTAGAGATTCTCTCTCTCTTATTCCCTCTCTTTCACAAAAGCTCTGCGGATTATCTCCTGCTTCCATTTTCAACATTCCAGCCACCTTTATCTCAGTAGACCGTGCTATTCAGCCTTATCGTAGCCTGTCTTTGTTGAGTTTCTTGATGTGAACTTTTTGCATGACTCCTTGCTTCCCCATTGGAGTATTTTTTAGAAGGACAAGTAATCTATATGCTTTTATGCAATTGCGTCCTTCTCAAGGACACCTTTCAATAATTTATCACTTGTATCTATGTAATCTCCTACGATCATTGATACTTTCCATTTATATCCTTCAGGAGAATCGCAGAAGTGAGGGAGAAGGACAGGCAGAAGTCCCTAGAGGAGATAGTCTACTGCTTTATTGTGCAGAAATTCCTGGAGAATGACATCTTAATGATCCCAAAAATTTACTCGGCCGGTCCCGTGCGGACCGGCTGGACCGGTCCACTGGACCGGTCTAACAGAATATTTACAAGTTGATTTTTTGTTGACATATATGGAGTGCATATCAACACACTTTTCGGTTTTTCTTTTATGAAACGTGTATTCACCTTCACATGTACAATTATGTTATATTAGAATATGAGTATTGTTAATGACAGATTTATTATCACATCTATAACCTTAAGGCTCCAAATCTCCAACTGAGGCACCGTCACCAAGGAACAAGTACTCTAATGTATCTCTCAATATTTTGTGATCAAGGATCATATCCTTTTGCATGCAACCTCGTTTTCCTCCTATGCAACCTCTTTTGTTAATCCATTCATGTTGTACATATATACCTTTTTCCGTCCTATTCTCCACTGCCATTTTTTCTCTCTCTGTTGTTATAGTACTAAAAGACACTTTTAGTTGTTTTGTTCCTCTGTACTAATAGTTGGTTTTGTTGCTATATATGTTGTAAGAAAAAAATTAGAAGTCATGGAACATATATATAACTACTTTGTTCGTGAGCATTTCTTTTTCTTTTGATTCTCCTGTCTTCTTCAGTTTGACTACCACGTCAAATTATGAGAATTTTCTAATTTTCGATCTTTTTGAGAATTTTCTAATTATGAGCATGCAAAGTTCATTTATCTGTTGAAAATTTTTAATTTCCTTTCAATTCTTTTGTGCACTATTGGATGTGGATTCTTTGATCCCTTTGTAAGTATTTGCTACAATTTTGAAGGGATGATTCTACTTGAACCAACATGAGGTATGAATCTTTCATTTGGTGATTTCTATCTTTATTATTATTATTTTTGTCTAAATGAATTTGTAATCGGTTTGTGTGGTGATTGAGAAATCTTCAAGCTAATATATATTGGTTCCCATTTTTTGGATGTGAATCTTAATTATTGTGGACTTTCATATTTGTTTTCAATTTTCTTGTAGAACTTTAGATTTTGGTGATTTTCAATATAATATAGTATGAATGTATTTATTTTGCATTTTGTTCAAACTAAAAGTTGGAAAATTATAAATTTAATTCTTTTGTGTTACGTTGTGCATCTTATCTTGAGTCTTCATTAATAAACTTTAGATCCTAATACATATATATCAACTTGCCTCAGATATTTCGTTTCAAGACAAGTTTCCTATAATGAAATCTTTATCAAGGTTTTATGAACTCAAAAGGGTGAAAGATGTTTACGGTGGCAAACATCTCTTAGTATGTCAGTGGAAAGCTTTTGTATTGTTCAATAGAGACTCACTTCATTTATGATAAGGGAATGTGCATAAGGTTCTAGGGTACTCTACAATTAATATAAACCACTCTTCAAAATTGAAGAGCCTTTCCAATGTAGTTTCAATATTTTCTCTCAATCTGCTGCATATGTTTAGTTTTGCACACCACAAATATTTCTACCAACTCTATATCACTAGAGATTCTCTCTCTTATTCCCTCTCTTTCACAAAAGCTCACTAAACAATATTATATTATTATGTATAATATTATGTGCCTGCGAATTATCTTCTGCTTCCATTTTCAACAATCCAGCCACCTTTATCTCAGTAGACAGTGCTATTCAGTCTCATCGTACCCTGTCTTTGTTGAGTTTCTTGATGTGAACGTTCCATGACTCCTTGCTTCCCCATTGAAGTATTGTTTAGAAGGATAACTAATCTATATGCTTTTATACAACTGCGTCCTTCTCAAGGACACCTTTCAATAATTTATCACTTGTATCTATGTAATCTCCTACGATCATTGATGCTTTCCATTTAAATCCTTCAGGAGAATCGCTGAAGTGAGGGAAAAGGACAGGCAGAAGTCCCTAGAGGAGATAGTCTACTGCTTTATTGTGCAGAAATTCCTGGAGAATGACATCTTAATGATCCCAAAAATTTCTCCATCTGCTTATCCAACCGGTCAGGTGGACTTCTGGCCCAACCAAGGACAAAAGCTAGAATCCATCCACTCACCTGATGCCATGGATATGATCCAGAGCCATCTCACCCTAATTCTCGGAGAAAGAGTCATCGGCCCTCTGAACACCATTGTGCAGATCAGTAAACTCAAGCTTGGGAAGCTCTATGCCGCCTCCATCATGTATGGCTACTTCCTCAAGAGAGTGGATGAGAGATACCAGCTTGAAAGATCCATGAACACTCTTCCCAAGAGGATTCCAGATCAACGAATCCTCGACGGCTTGAAACCGAACCCTCTCTGGGACATGGACTCATTGGTAATGATTTCGCCGGACGAAGACGTCGATGACGAGCAAGATGAAAAATCATATAAATTGAGATCTTATGTCATGTACTTGGATGCAGAGACACTGCATAGATATGCAACCATTAGATCAAATGAAGCTGTCGCACTGATTGAGAAGCAAACACAGGCTTTGTTTGGTAGACCCGATATCAAAATAGCAGACGATGGAACACTGGACGCTTCCAATGATGAGGTTGTGGGTATCTCTTTCTCTGGGCTTACAATGCTGGTTTTGGAGGCCGTTGCATTTGGATCTTTTCTATGGGAAGCTGAGAGCTATGTGGAGTCCAAGTACCATTTCTTGACAAACTAATGCTCTTCTGATCATCTTCTGTAAAGAATATAGTGTAAGTGTTTAGAATTCTTTTATATCTCAAAAATATTACATGCAGCTGATATAGGTGTTGAGTTTTGTCTGCCAAACTCTATTTTTTTGCTTGAAAAAAAGTTTTTTAGATGAATTTTATGAGCTTCGAACCGGCATGTCTGTTGCAGTGTGCCTAATATCTTAGTTTTGATCATTCTTCAATATAAAATTCTATTACTTATCATATTGCAACTAAAGTCAGCACAGTCATTGTAAAAACTACTGTAATAAAATTAGTTTGGCGCAGCAAAAGAAGGGATGAATGGGAGCCTGAGAGGCTTGAATCTGCCAACTACATACCAAAAAAACCTAACTTGGGCAGAAAAAAGCTGGCATCCCCTTCTCCTGGAGAAATTATTTTATGCAGAGGTCGGACACAAAATGTCATTCGAAGATCAACTAGAATGTGTCACATCAGTAGTACCGAGCGGTACTGAGCCACGGTACCAAGCGAATGAATAATGTGATGCATTCTGATTAGTCTCCGGACAGCATTCGGCATCCGCATAGAATAATTAATCCTTCACCTGAGGCATAGAGCTACATGCACAGGCACTTGGAACCAACATATTCAAGTGGAGACAGTCAACTTATTTTCAAAGGAGATCAGATTGCAAGTGTTGGTGAGAAGTTCTCTCATTTAGAAGGTATTTATGCTTGAAAGGAGGATAAAATGTTTTTAAAAGTTTGACAATTTTATATTTTTTGAAATCTTGAGAATATTTTTTAAATGTTTAGGACTTCATTTTAACTTATTTGCAGCCCGTTGGAGTATCTATAATTAATTTCGAGCAAATATAAGTTTATAACTACCTTGAGCCACAAAATTAAAAGAGTTGTAGTTTCTAAACTGCTGAAATGGAAAAACGGATATGCTTTGTTGGCATTGCTTTGAGATGGCTGTTGCTAAATGGATTTTCTGGAGAATCCTCATTCTTCTCTATTTCTTTGATGACTGTTACTATGCACCTATTCCTAGCATTGTTCTATTTTGGAAGGCAATGGTGATAGGCTGGATGGCATTGGTGGTTTTATGCATGTGGAGCAGCCTTCTGCTAATATGTTGGATCATCCCGAATTTTACCTGGACGGCCTTCGGGGCAACCAGGATTGTTGTTTTTTGGTCCCTGGGGAGTTATTTTGAGGACGATGATGATCACTGCTGGACCTTTCTCCCCTTGGAGGGTCTTTTTGGCAACCAGGGGATTTTTGCGCTTCTCTCGAGTGGGCTTACAATTGATTTATCTTTTCGATCAGCAGCCTGAGTCTTGATGCTTTGCATCTTCTACCACATTTTGGTTATACAAAAGTTTATTTTTGTAATTTTAGGTGGTATAGTTGTGGTTTTTTATACTGGCCCTCATAAGTTTTTGTTGTTTCTTATGATTGGGCTTTTTTCATTTGTTACTTGTAATTTCTCCTTATTTGAGTAATATATGGGCCTTGGCCCCAAAATTTCCCAAAAAAATTTGTTCATGATCGCTTATTTAAGAAATTAAATAAAATGAGATAATTTTTTAAATACTCTACTCTTTAAGCAAATAAAAATAATTTTTATGATCATGAACAAAATAAGATCAATAAGATGCTTGATTAAATTTTTATTTTAAATATTTTTTACATAATTTTTAGTTTTATTATAATAAATTATTCTTATTAAATAAAAAATTAATTATATTTTCTATGTTATACTATTTTATCATAATGAATTTGCTAACAAGATGAGTTTATTTATGTTTCTAGTATTTTTTGTTTAAATTATTTATGAACAAATTTGTTTATAAGAATAATCATTTTATGAGCTTTTTTGTTCTTGAATGGGCTTGTTTGGTAGATTTAAATCACTCTTTATAGATGCTTGTTTTGTTAGTAGATTCGATAATGCTCATTTTTTAAAAGCTTGATAAGCATAAACAAATCAAATAAGGATCAAACACAATCCAAATATGAACATCTATTCTTTAGAACGAACCAAGCTTAAACACACAAAAAAAAATTTGAATTGAGTTGAATCAAGATAATAATAAACAAGCTCAAATATGAGCAAACACCAACTTGACTCTACTCTGTGCCTCCGTCCAATTGCAACTCTATGCTCATATATTAATTAAAAAATTATAGGGGAAGCCCAAGAGAGCTAAATTAATATAACTAGCTTCATCAAAAGCTCTGATAATTATAAAAGTTATCATTTTAATAGTATACAATACTTCTATATGCAAATAAATGATCAACAATTTATAGAAGACATCATAGGTCATACATCTATGATAATATGAATGATTGTCAGATATCTTTTAATCGAACAAAATATTTTTATTTAAATTAGGTTTTATTTGGGATGACTGCAATATTTTATAAAGTTGATTCTAAAGTTATCGCGCAGAAAATAGCTTATCATTAAAAAAAAATTGTGAGTAAATAGCATCCAAACAAGCCCAAATTTGTGTGATTTGAGTTCAATAATATTTTAATTTATGATATAAAGAAACATAAAATCAAATGAGTTAAAGAGGAAAAAAAAAAGATTAAATATTAATCAATTTAGAAAGATGCCAAATGATACAGACAGCTGATAGTAACAACAATTAATTAATATTCTTTCGTTGAAAACGTAGCATTATTTGCAGTAGCTTTCGTTGATGGGACGCTAACTAATCCAACTCCTTGAGGAAGCTGTGTTTTCGCCATCAATGGCTCGTAGACTCTTAGCGTAAGAAGAAGAAATAAAGCAGATATTGAAGAGGATAACCAGCACTTAATTATATTGAATGTAATGAGCTGATGGAATATCTATTGAATCTGTGCAGTTGCAGAAGTTGATAAAGAATCATATTTCCATATACTTTAACTTTATCAGAGCGGTGGCTTAGAATGAAGAATCCATATCAATCAGCTAGTGGCGTGTCAGCATCAGCTGCCACTGAAGTTTTTTTTTTCTCTTGATTGTGATAAAGGATCAGTGGTTGCAGAGAAATGGTTTTGGTTGTCAATAATTGTTGAGAAGCATATATAGCTTTTTAGTACTGGAGGATCTGATTAATTTGATCACCTTCAATGAAAGATTCTATTAGGCGAGAAGCAGCTTCTCCAGAAGGGAATTCTGTGAGATGGAGGAGCACCTTGGGAAACGCTGTGAACTCTAATAATATCTGAAAGGCCATAATTGCAGCGTGGGGCCGCAAGTGCGTTTGATGGGGAGAGAGCTCAAATCTGAAATATATGTAGTGGAGAGAGAGTGTGTCAAATTAAAGTAAGAAACTCTATGATGTTCGAGTCAATAGACAAATCATGAGGTGGGATAAACATTTGATCCAGCACTATGCTCAACTCAACCACATAATGATGGGTGTACTTTGTACAAAGAACTACTAGAATGAATTGATACGTCACAAAAAATCACTTTCATCAACCATGAATCTCAAGACAATTCATGTTAAAAAATTTCAAAATTAAATTCGGGACCATCCTAACTCCAACTTCAGCAAACTTATAGTCGAATTGAACATCTCAAGGAGACGAACCCAATAACACGAAAATAGGTTCAATACGAGTTCAAAAGGGTTCAAATCGAGGGCCCGGAGCACATTTAGAAGATTCAAAGCATAAATTGGATGACCAAATTATATGTATATATAATATGCTTATAATCCAATCGATCGGATCGACGAGACGAATCCAACGAGCCCAAGATTGTCTAATTTGGACATCATTTGGTTACATAAATGCTTGACAAACATTCTATGATCGAGGTGATCAATATGTGTCGTCTGATTGAACAATCCCAACATGCCTTTGATCTTCTCAATATTTTGAGGTAAGCCACTCCCAAAAAACTATAAATAGACTCCTTACTCTTCATATGGGGGGAGGGGTAAGGGAAGAGAAGAGCTATTGAGCTCGAGCAATCTTGGAGCTCCACCCTGACACCACAACTGATGAATTTATGCCACTAGGCCACAATTGATAATCCTCTGGCCGACAATAATAGTCGAACCTCCATATGGAAGACACTAACAAGCCTTACTCCGACCACCATTAATTGACTATGATTCTTCCGACTACCGTTGCTCCATTACAGTCCTCCATACCTTCGTCACCCACTGACTATAGTCCTATTGACCACCGTCACCCGACTACGGTCATTTTGACCTCAGTCGCCTCCAACTATGACCTTTCCGACTACCGTCGTCCAACTACAGTCTTTCGACCCTCAGTTGCTCGACTATAGTCCTTTCGACCTCCATCACAGATCAACTACAGTCCTTCTGACCACTGTTGCCCAACTACGATTCTCCCGACCATTGTTACCCAACTACGACCTCCGTCGATGCAATCCCTCTGACCACCATAGCCCTACTAAAGTCTTTCTAACCTCCGTTGCCCGCCAATTACGGTACCTCTAACCACCATCACTAGTCTACGATCCTTCCAACCTCTATTGCCATCCCAACTATGGTCTCTCAGACCAACGTCGACTGACTATGATTCTTTTGACCTCTTTCACTTACCTACTATGGTTCCTTTGACTTTTATCTTCTGACCACGGTCCTACTAACCAAGCAAACATACTAATACTCTCTTAAGAATAATTGTCATGTAATGAGTTATATACAATGTGTATTTCTTTCATTGAGCTAAGGCCTTCCCCCCAGGGAAGGACATTATTTGTAATCAACCATAAATATTAGTGGATTCATTCAAACTAGGCCAAGCTAGCCCCGTGGTTTTTCTCCTTTTTTCATGATTTTTCACATATAAATATTGGCGTCTCTAATGAATGCTATACCCTCTCTTTTATTGATTTACGATATACTAGATCTTTATACAAAGCTAAAACGTTAAATTATTTCTTTATCTTTCTACAGCCACAAATTGCCTAAGACGCAACACGTATAATGACCACAAGCTTCTAATAAGTGCTGCTTATTAAATGGTGGAAGGTCATCTCAATCACTCTTTGCATAAGAGAAGAGATTAGATGACCGAAAAGGTGAATGTTAGATGCAGATGATTGATGGAAGTTAAATGCCAACATTAATAGGAGTCACATATGATCAATTTTAAATGTTAGATGCACATTAGATGATGATTAGTAGTCTGCTCATGATTGCTCAGATAAACTTCAATGGCTAACAAATGTTAGGAGCAACAATCGATTATGAATGTTGGATGCTAATTAACAGCCATTGGTTGCTCAACCATTCTCCTTATATGAAGCAAGAAGGGGGGTGTCAAATGTCAAGCATATCACATAAACTAGTAGATGTTAAATAACTATTGACTATAAATGTTGGACATTGGAGCGTATACACACAAAAATTTCATCACGGAAACAATCCAATGAAGTTTAACTACTTATAATCTAATTAGGATTTCTAAAATAATTTATATTTTGACTTATGTTGGAGATAAATGTTTTATCTTAATTTCAAGTAATATTTTATTTAAATTACTAATAAATTTTTTTAGCGCCTAAAAAAATCCCTCGAAAGAACTTGCATTATGTAGCATCGATGTGAAGCTACTAGTTGACATGATTCTCGCTAGAAAACGCTTAAAGGGAAAGTAGAAATGAATTTTACTCATAAACTTTTGAAGACATGCCTATGAGATACTCTCGATGAAAAGCGAGTAATGAACATGATTCTCACTATAGAGATTACAAGAGATTAAATGATTGATAAAGGCACTAGTTAAAAAAAAAATCTTTGAAGGTATTAGTTCTTAAAATAATAATAATAAAATGCTACAAGCTTAAGATCTTACAAGTTTCTTCGATTTTTCAAGAATTTCATAAAACCAAAAGCCTAAGAAGATATAGGTTTCTCCAATTCTCAAAATTTTTGGAAAGCTAATGGTCTCAAAATATACATTTTTTTAATTTTATAAAAATTTCATATGACTAAAAGCCTAAAGCTATATGTTTCTTTTATCATCCAAACTTCTTATAAGATTAAAAATTTCCGAACGTAAATGCTTCTTTGATTCTTGAGAAATCCTAGATGATTAAAAGAATTTGAACATAAATATTTCTTTGATTCTCCAAAACTCTCAAAAGGCTATAAGCCTTAGAAGGTACATATACGTCTAAAGATTTTAAAAGACACAAGCCTCAATAGATACATGTACATCAAAAAAACTTGATAAGATTTGATCCTTAGAAGAAGTAAATTTACTATATTTCTTTCATTTTTCTTTTTATTTATGTGCCTTGGATTCTTCTGCAAAATTATGACGTAAATATCTCTCTAATATTATAATTTTTTTTGACATGGAATATTCATAATGAATCATGAAATTTTTAGGATATAACAAAATGAAATACTCTGCTAGCTAACTTGAACCCCAAAATAACCCTTCAAAATCATTGGATGAATAACACAAAATACATTACATGTCATTAATTCATTCAATGACTTCATATGTAGAACACTAAATTCAACAACATAACAATATACTTCTTAAACAAACTCTATCACCAAATTATTTAGGCTTCATTTGGGACGGTTTTCTTACTGCTTCTTAAAGCAGCTTTTTCATACATATTTTTTACTAAAAATATGCTTTAACAAGCAGTAAGAAAGCCATCCCAAACGAAACTTTAATCTATTTGTGGTCAACGAAACTCCAATTATTAGGTGAATCATTTGCTTTCTTGATTCATAAAAAAATAATGTTTTGTGCCTTCAAAGAAGTTGTAAAATTGTTTTAAAAAAAACATTTCTAATGCTCTTATTCGTTAGGTTGCCATTTGGAAGTGAAAATTAACTCTTAAGACAAAGAGAAAGCACCAATTTTCATTTCTTAATCATACTAATTAATCTTTCCTCTCTAACAATTAAGCTCTAACTAATAAGCCCAGCGTGGCATCATACCGTTCCAACTATTCCCCTTTGAATTGACCATATTACCCTTCAACTATCCCTCATATTACCCGCCTACCCTATCGCATAAATCCCGGATCCTTCCACGAGATTACACATCATGTGCCATTCTGTAAATTCTTCGAAGACTAGGGAGTAGTTCTTTCGTTGCCCAGGTCAGCACGGCATCCCGTATCGTTCCCTTCTCTTCCCTTCCCACGCTACAATTCCTTTTCACCTTCTATTTTTCATTATTATATTTCTGCTCTCTCTCTCTTCCTCTCCCACTTTATATTCAGGTGGCGATAAACGAAGGGGTTAAACGGCGATGGCGGAGGCGGCGGCGATCGTGACGACGTTGATCATTGCCACGGCGGTCGTGGCGGCGGCGGCTTTTAACGTTCCGGCGATTACCTTCGACGAGGGATACGCGCCTCTGTTTGGCGATAAAAACATCATTCAATCCGCCGGCGGACGAACGGTGAAGATTCTCCTCAACAAATACTCCGGTAAGCGATCTCGTTGCCGGCCGGTGATGACTTGACGATCGCCGTTCGTTTTCTATGGTTGGTTACTCTTCCGTTTGTCATGGCAGGATCGGGGTTCATCTCGTCTGATATTTATTACCATGGATTCTTCAGCGCGTCGATCAAGTTGCCGTCAGATTACACGGCCGGCGTCGTCGTGGCGTTCTACGTGAGTGGTGCCTTTAGATTTTTCTTTTTTCCGTTTATTGCTCCGTTCCGTTACGTGAACGTTTGTTCCTTCTGGCCGATTACTCGTTCCTAATATTTTGTTTTTATTAATCAGAAAATAAAATTCCGCCTTTTTTTAATGCGTGGAGCGGCCTAACGAGGCCGAGGCTATCCACAACTATCAATAGTATCGAGAGGGTATTATTGTCATTTACACTATCCTTGTTCGCGTAGTAAAATTGCATTAGCTAAATTTTTTTTGCTAAAAAGTTATTTTAGAAATTAATAAAAAAATCAACGTTTGACCATTATTTTCTTACTAATTTTAAATTTTTTTTACTTAAAGAAACTATTTTAAAAACATAAAAAAAAAACAAGATCATACTAAGCCTTAAAAAAAATCAATATGAGCTCTAAATAATTAAATTTAATCTAAATTGAATATAATTTAAATAATTATTTAAAATTTCAAGAAATTTAACTCAAAATATCCAAATTAAATTTGTGATTAGAATGAAACTAAAAATGATTAAGATGAATACATTGAATTCATCTCAAATGAAATCAATGATTCTGAATTTCAATCACAATATCATGAAACAAATTTAGAAAATTATTTGTTAGAATTTTTATCCTGAAATATAAAAAATTAACATCACTATTACATCTTAGCAGCTATTTGGTAGCAGGATTTACGCTGGATTCGAGCGAAATTCAGCCAAACGGCCAAAAATGCAAAACCAAAACTCATGGTAAATGAAAGCCGCCGTGGACGAAAAATTACCCATTTTTGTGATACATCCAGGATTTACAAAATCCTATGATTCAACAGATTTATCGCTCTGTTGGCACGAGAGGGAAGAAGTATCCACTCTTTTTAAAATTTAACAGTACAAACTACTTTTTATAAAATACTATATCTCCTCCAAACAAAATCTTTTAGCTACCTTGTAAGAATCAGCATGCATTCTTACTTTTCAAACAAATTGATCAATATTTAAATCCCTAAACCCTAAAACTGAAAATAGCCAACGCATATGGCGGTGGTTGCGTTTGTTCAAAAATCTCACCAAATTACAGAACCAAAATAATGAAGGAACTGATCAATTAATATTTGCTGTAATAATTTGACACGCAGATGTCGAACGGCGACATATTCGAGAAAAATCACGACGAACTGGACTTCGAATTCCTCGGCAATATCAAGGGAAAAGAATGGCGGATTCAGACCAACGTGTATGGCAATGGGAGCACAAGTCGCGGCCGCGAGGAGCGGTATCAGCTGCCTTTTGATGCCACTGCTGAATCCCACCGCTATTCCATTCTTTGGACCAGAACTAATATCATGTAAGAGCTCCTTCATCAATTTTTTATTTTAAAAATTTTTGTACTAAAAAACTGTTTTAGAAAGCAATTAAAAAGTCATCCCAAAGGGGCAAATTATTAGGTCCAGTCACCTGACTTAGAAATAGGTCCAGACATCTAATAAAAACTTGCCACGTGAACTGTGCTTTTTTTATTGCACTTTATCTGCAATTTACCTGTGCTTTTTTTAGTCAAAGCACAGTTTACGTGACAAATTTTTAGTGGATATCCGGACCTAGAAATAGGTCGGATGACTTGGACCTAATGATTTGCCTACCAAAGGAGGCCTAAGATATAATAACAATGCGTTTTGCAGCTAAATTTTGAGCAGCAGTTTGGCTTCGTCATATATGACATAAGTTAGCTGCTTTAGTTGAAAAACATTACTTTTTACCACAAGTATTTAGAAGAACAGCAAAAAAATAGTAAGTAGGATAAAAAAAATGCTAGAAAGTTATCTCATACGGACCTTTAATATAAAATTATCAAATTTCTTCAATTTAATTTCTTAACTATATCAAGTAAATGTTTAGATATGAAATTAATCATTTTTTTAATATAGAAATTGATATAATTTAGGGTTTATTTGGGGCATCATTTTTGCTATTTTAATTTTTATAGAACAACCATAATTTGATTTGGCTACTACCTTTTTCACTACTTTTTAGATTTTTTTTGGCTGTGAAAAGTTGCTTTTTAAAACTAGAGAGATTTTATTTGGGAAATCTTAGCACAAATTTAAAAAAAAAAATAATAAAAAAGTAGTGGTAAAAAATTGGACCGAATGAAATCTAATTTTTCTCCATAATAATTTCATAATTAATTTTATACAAAGCTTTAACCGTCCCAAACAAATTCGTAGACTTCTAATAGAATAATTTTAATTTAAAAAAAATTTATACTAAAAAAATTACTTTAAAAAATAGCAAGAAAATTGTCTCAAATAAAATCTTAATTTTTAAAATATAAATTAATATTTATTTATGGTCTATTTCGGACTGCTACGACGTTTTATAAAGTTCATTTGTGAAATTAAAGTAGGCAAAACTTACATATTTTAGTTGCAAAAAATTAGTTTTTTCTTTTTTTTTTTCCAAAAGAAAAAAAGTTTAATTTGTAAATTAATGAGAAAGGTATCCAGGATACTCTTAATTTTATAAAAATGAAGAAGTTAAATTGAAAAAAAAAAAGTCTGGAAATAAATTGACTATCCTTCTACAAAAGTCTCTAGTCGTTGATTCATCATAACTTCGTATACATCCAGATTCTACATCGACGACACCCCAATCAGACAAGTGGCGAGGAACGACGCCATGGCCGGCGACTACCCATCAAAACCCATGTCTCTCTACGCCACCATATGGGACGGCTCCACCTGGGCCACTTCCGGCGGCAAATATAAGATCGACTACAAATACGCCCCTTTCGTCACCGAATTCACCGACCTCGTCCTCCACGGCTGCCGCCTCGACCCCATTCAACAGCTCCCAGCTTCCCAACAGTGCCGCGACTTCGAGGCCGCGACCGCCGCCGCCGACTACTCCTCCTTGTCGCACGAGAAGCGCGAGGCCATGCTTCGGTTCAGACAGAAATACATGACTTATACTTGCTGCTACGACGAGCAGAGATATCCCATTCCTCTGCCGGAGTGCGAAGTCGTCGAGTCGGAGAAGGACAAGTACTGGAAGTCCGGTGATATCAAGGTCCAGCCTAAGCCTATTTTACGCCGGCACAGAGGAAAGAAGCGCGGCCAGGCGAGGAACAGAGCCGTTGTTGAGATCAACGGGCAAGCTGTTGCTTAATTAATTGATTCCCTCTTCTTTTCTTCTCTGTTTGTAAAGATCAGAAAGATGAATGTAAAAAAATATATGTGACAATCATAGCAATGGAGTTTCATTAAAATTCTTCAGCCGCACAAAAATTCGACTTTTGGTCAAGTGGGGTTGTTGGATAGTTTTGCAATTTATTGATTTGTGTTATCTATAAATAATTAATGGTGATTGCACATTGAATAATTTTAGCTTTCTTTTCTTCTTTGGTTATTATTTTATTTTGTGCAATTAATGCATATGATAATTATGTTAAGTTGTTTGATTGTACGTTGAATTTAAAACATTTTATTTGACAGAGTAATGTTGACTTTATTATTTGTAAGCTAAAATGCTTGGTTTTTCACTTGCAAAGTTCAAAATGGAAGTTTGACTTACAGAGTTCAAAATAGAAGTTATCACACCTTGTTGATCTGCTAATAGTTGAAGCTTGATTTTAGATTCGTTTGTGACGGTTATAAAATTTTATAAAGTTAACTTTTTTTAATTATTTTAATTATAAAAAATGTCTTCCATTATAAATATATCTGAAAAATAATAGTTTTTTTAATAAAATAATATTCGAACATAAATATGATTGACTTCCAGCAAAAAAGCTGTCAACATAAACCAATCACCGAGAACACGGCAAACCTAAGTGATTTCTCAAGCACTCCAGAATTTAAAGGAGCATATTTATCTTAGAAAGTGAAGATTGATTGCCTCATAACGGTCAATCATGATGATGATTAAAGTGCCCTATCATTCATATATAACGCAGCATGTTATAATTCTCATATCTTTTGTCCATATCATATAAGTATTCACAGTTATACACAAATGAAGGCAAATACATTCTATCTGCATAACAGACTAAATCTTACGAGCATGTTATGTCCAAGATATGAGTAAAATTTTTAATTCATAAAAAAGCAAAAGAGGGTTGTATGTGCTGAAGCTAGAAGCAATTTCGTTGATGACTTGATTAGCTTTATAACTCTATTGTTGGAAAGTATTATTCAGCTTTTGGGAAAGAAATCAGGGTTGGGATCTCTGGATAGTTTCTATGAGAACGTTGAGCAGCTTGACGTCAAGTACCTACAGAATGAGACATGCAAGGAGATGATTCTTAATCCTTGAAGTGCGGCTGCAAAAATATGCGAGACATAAAGATAAAAAATATTCATGAAGTCAATCCATGAACTTTCTACATTTGCAATGTAGAAAATTCTTGAATTAATATATATTTTTTATATTAATATAATTTAAAATTTATTTTTATTATTATAAATATATTAAATAGATTGTGCAAATAATAATATGGATAAATTAAAACATTATTTCTTATTAATCTTACATATAAAATATTGAGCAAATAATTATATCAATTAAAAAATTAAATTTCAATAATTGTGATATCTTAAGAATTATGTTAAATGAATTATGCTAATATGTGATACTTTTCATCCAAGATACAGCTTTTTCTTGTTTGTTGATCGAAAATTTTGAGTAACAATCAAGAGATTTTGAATTCAACATTTGTATATATGATAGGTGATGAATTTGACTTAATTGACCTAAATTTTTACCAAAAAAAAAAACTTCAAGCAAGACTAAACTAAAATGCTTGGTTTTTCACTTGCAAAGTTCAAAATGAAAGTTTGACTTACAGAGTTCAAAATATAAGTTATCACATCTTGTTGATCTGGTAATAGTTGAAGCTTGATTTTAAATTCGTTTGTGATGGTTATAAAATTTTATAAAGTTAACTTTATTTTAATTATAAAAAGTCTTCCATTATAAATATATCTGAAAAATAATAGTTTTTTTAATAAAATAATATTCGACATAAATATGACTGACTTCCAGCAAAAAAGCTGTCAAAATAAACCAATCACCGAGAACACGGCAAAGCTAAGTGATTTCTCAAGCACTCCAAAATTTAAAGGGGCATATTTACCTTAGAAAGTGACGGTTGATTTCCTCGTAACGGTCAATCATGGTGATGATTAAAGTGCCCTATCATTCATATATAACGCAGCATGTTATAATTCTCATATCTTTTGTCCATATCATATAAGTATTCACAGTTATACACAAATGAAGGCAAATACATTCTAACTGCATAACAGACTAAATCTTACCAGCATGTCATCCAAGATATGAGTAAATTTTTTAATTGATAAAAAAGCAAAAGAGGGTTGTATGTGCTGAAGCTAGAAGCAATTTCATTGATGACTTGATTAGCTTTATAACTCTATTGTTGGGAAGTATTGTTCAGCTTTTGGGAAAGAAATCAGGGTTGGGATCTCTGGATAGTCTCTACGAGAACGTCGAGCAGCTTGACGTCAAGTACCTACAGAATGAGGCATGCAAGGAGATGAATCTCAATCCTTGAAGTGCGACTGCAAAAGAGATGTGAATTGTAATTGACTACATCATATATGACAAGACACTAAACTACCATCATGTTGACCATTGAGAGACAATCAACCATCACTTTCAAGAGTAAATAAGCTTATTTAAATTCTCAATCACTTAAGAAATCACTTTATCAGTGATTGGACTGCTCCAAAGATAAAGTCAAGCTTCAAATATCCCCACATCAAAAACGGTTGATCACTCTGTTAAATAATGCAAAATTTGTGGTTCAAATATTTCATTCTTAGATGACCTTTCGACAAGTGATATCAGTAGAACCATTTCATTTTCGACTTGTTACCATCGTTATACAATCAAATTAAGCTATTTTATCATTATAATGAAAAGATTTTCTTGAAATTATAATTAATTATCAACTTTACATCTTTCAAATTATAAATAGTCTGCTATAGCTAGTAAAAATAACTGAATTGTATGTCTATTTATTTCACATTATGAGTTGCACTACTTTAATTGTTCTAGTGGTACGAGCAAACATTTTTAATGAAGACATTATAAGCAACCATCAGCAAGAAGATAGTCTGAATTTGGTTGCTTGGTTCTTTCTTTTATTTGAGATATTCCCTTTGCTTGCAGCAACTGTATGCTTGAACTGCTATTTTAAGTCGTTCTATCCTGATTCTTTAAAGGAATATGAGCAAAAAATTGAAATTTTATATTTATATTTCTTAGTGCTTGAACCGCGACCCCACGTAGTGGGACAAAAGCTTATTGTTGTTGTTGTGTTGTAGTCTATTTTATTCTTTAATTTTACAAAGGAAGTTGTCTCAAGCAAGTGACTACAATCTATGAACTCATTCTAAGCAGGCTCTTCAAGTCGGTTGACGCTGCAAGCAAATGAAAGATTTCAAGGAAAATAAAAAATCAAGCAGCCAAATTCAAGAGTTCTTCTCGTTGATGGCTACTTATATTACATTCATTAAAAGAATTTTGTTCTTACTATTAGGACAATAAAAATAGTAAAACTCAACATATGAAATAAAAAAGTAGAAATTATGTTTTTATTATTATATATAAGGAATCCACATAAACTAATGTAGTCAATCCTGAATCTGAAAAGATGTAAAGTTGATAATTAATTACAATTTTACAAAGAAAATTCTTCTGCTAACACTAAGCAATGATAGAGACATCATTTCGAAGAAAAGATGGCTGATCAAAAGTATCAAATAAAAAAAATTAAATTGAACAAAAGAAATTATAGACAGATTAAACTTAGCATTCTTAAGGCAAACATCCTTTCCAACAAGAATGAAAAAACACAAATTCATTTAATTACCAATGACAGATGAAAAATAGAAAAGAAATGTGAAGATTATTTGTAAGCAAAAACCTTCTAAAGTCGACAACAAAAAATCCACCAATATCTGTCACTATTTTTTCGAACTTGGATGGTCCAATGAACTTTCATTTTTCAAATAATTATAAATAATAAACGTTTGGATGGACCTATGAACCTTCCTCCATTTCTATATTTGACTATATGAACTTCTTCGTTATTATGAAACAATATCACCCTCACGGTATCACTGCTGCAGAATTCCCGATCTTAACATCCAGGTTCCCGAAGGTCAAGGTGACGATTAATGTGTCTCTCCATTTATGACCCAACCTATTAATTATTAGGATTCCCCACTTCTGCACTCTCATCTCTTTTTGCATGAAAACCCATGAATCTAAGGCTTCTCTGTTATATGTGGAGGCAAGAGCAATCAAACTACAGCACATACATTACTTCCCATTACGCCGTGCCTAAGATAAGTGTAAGGATTCTAATTCATAAAAAGCAAAAGAGGGTTGTATATGCCGAAGCTAAAAGCGATTTCATTGATGCCCTGTTTAGCTTCCCTACTCTACCGCTAGGAAGTATCGTTCGGCTTTTGGGGAAGCAGACAGGTTTAGGATCTCTCGATAGCCTTTATGAGAGCATTGAGCAGCTTGAAGTCAAGTATATACAAACCGATGCATGCCAATGCATGCTTCTCAAATCTCGAAGTGCGGCTGCAAAAATATGCGAGGACTAGAAGACTAAAAATATTCATAATGTCAATCCAAGAACTTGAATTGATATAATGAATATTTTTAACCGTAAACTTATTGCATATCATTGCAGTTGCAATTCAAGAATTGAGAAACATTTTCTTGCATGCCTCAATCTGTAAGTGTTGACGTTAAACTGCTCAACGCTCTCATAGAGGCTGTTCAAAGATCCCAGCTTGATTGCTTGCGTAAAAGCTAAACAATCCTTCCCAATGACAAAGTCAAAAAGTTAAACAAAATGTCAATGAAATTGTTTTCAGTTTCAGCATACACAACCCACTTTTTATCTTTATCAACTAGAAATATTACCTTGATCTTGGACATGACGTATTGAGAATATAGCCAAAATCTTACTCTAGTGCCTTCACTTATTTAACCATGAAGAGTAGGGCTGATACTTGGGTTTCAATGGCAAAAGAGATGGAAATCGTAATTGGCTACGTCGTATATGACAAAACACTTTAACCACCATCATGATTAACCATTGAGAGGCAATCAACCATCACTTTCAAGAGTGAATAGGCTTGTTTAAATTATCATCCACTTGAGAAATCACTTTCTCGGTGATTGGAATGCTCCAAAGATAAAGTCAAGCTTCAATTATCCCCACATCAGAGGAACTTGAGCACCCTGCAGCATAAATTGGAATACTCCCCAGTGTGTCATGTCTAAGATAAGCATAAGATTTTTAATTAACAAAGAGCAGAAGAGGGTCGTGTACTGAAGTTGGTAGCGATTTTGTTGACTATTGTTTAGATTCTTGACTTGCTGCTGGGATGCATCGTCTGGCTTTTGGGCAAGCAGTCGGGATTTGGATCTCTTGGCAGCCTTTACGAGGGTGTTAAGCAACTTGACAACAAACACTTGCAGACCGGGCATGCAAGAAAATGATTTTCAATCCTTAAAGTGTGACATCAATAATATGTGAAGATTTTAAGATTAAAACATTCATGTTGCCAATCTAATGACTCTCTATATTTGCAATTTAAGTGATTGCTTAACTCAATCAACATGTTACTAAACGTATGCAAAAAAATGATCAATGCAGCCGTTATGGAAAACTGATAACAAATACTTGATTTTGGCGAAAAGAAACATCCAATGATGGAGGAATATTTGTTAATGAAACAATCAGATTTATGATAACTGATGATTTACAGGTGATACCGACTTCTTTGATGAAGGGCTTCTCCCTTCTTGAAGAGTTGCACGTTAAAGATGCACGTATCTTAGAGGAAAGGTTAATAGATTTCAACACAGAGGAGGTACATAAACAGTTGATGAATGAAGCAGTTAACCTACAATTGTTGAAAATTTGAAATTAGAATGTGCACTTTTGTTTTTATTTTCAGGCTTTGAACTTGTTGAGGAGGTCACTAGTATCCAAGAATTCATTGACGGGGGATTTGTTTTACTGATGGCACCACGCAAACAAGTGTAAAACGCCTTTTCGAGATTAAAGAAGACATGAGTGACAAGAAGCAGAAAGTGAAATTAATATAAAACACATCTCATCTTAAATAAGAAAAACAATGATGTTTTGTCTGCGAATGTTGGGGAAGATTTTGCCAAGTTTTCTAACATTTCCACTTGGCTCTATACTTAAACTTCTTTATGATAATGTATCAGTGCTGGGCAGCTGCATCAGCAATTTATATACATCAGCAAAGAGTATGAGCTAGAGTGCTTCAAATTAGAAAATAGCATAAACATGTTGCTATCTTCAAAACTTGCAACTTTCCATGGTATTGAAAAGCTAAAGAAAAGAAGAAAAGAAAGCCACAGGCAAAGAAAAGACTGCCAAATGATTTACTAAGGCAAATGAAGTTTCATCTGATCTCCCAACTAGGGGCCATAACATATATATATATATATATATATATATATACACAAAATTGAGCAAATACAAAAAAGACCAACGGGCTTTGAATGAGAGGGGATCGTTTAAGATCCAAACAGTTGTGAGTGACAGTTGCCTTGGCGTGAATTTCTTGAGATGTTGTGGATCTTCGTAGTTGTAGATGTGCTTGTTGTGTCGCGCTATTATGCCCCCGCAAACGAACGGTGAAGGAAGAACTGTGAGTTTGAACCGAAAAAGATGATACTGAGGTGTGGAAAGTGGTTTAGTGAGAACATCGGTGATTTGATTCTGAGTGGAAATAGGAACAACTCGAATCTCCTTAGTTATTAATTATGGTCAGTTGAACTGAAAATGGACATCAACCTCGATATTGCTTGTTTTGGGCGTGGAAGACAGGATTGTTGGCGAGAGCTATGCCGACATGCTATCACAGTGTATATCTATCTGTAAGAGATTTGGAGATGTGAAAATCTGAGAGTAGAGACATATGACATAGAAGTAGTAGAGTGGCTAAACTCTGTATTCCGCTTCCTTTGAGGAATGAGTGACAGTTTGTTGTTTCTTCACTGTTCCAAAGAAATGAGTGTGTCCCAAGAAATGAACAATAGCCGGAAGTTGATCGTCGAGTAGTCGAACTCGTGGCACATTCAGCGTTGAAGAAAGTTTGAAGTGAAAGAGGTGATTTTAAATGGGAAGACCGAAGGTAGATTGCCACGAATGTAGTGAAGAAGACGGTTGAGTTGTAGAAAATGTATGGTAAGGGATTGTGAATATGTTTGGCAAAGGTGATTGACAGCAAAAGAAATGTTAGGACGAGTAATATAGTAAGATATTGTAAGGAGCAGGTAAGTTGGCGATATTGATAGGTGGGATCGGAGAAAGTGAAAATCTAGTGAGAACATTGGCGTAGTAGCTTCGTATAGGAAGGATTGGAAATTGGTAATTTATCAGCCATTCACACACATTCTTAGATGCAGCAATAAAAAAATAAACAAACACACCAATCATTCACCAACCAGCATTGCAGTTAAAAATCACATAGAAAACTACGTCCACCGTACAGCAGCAAAAAAGTAAGCATCGGACCTTAACCTAAAACTTAGTAGTATTTCATAACCAAACGAAATCTACTGATTCTTACAGCTAGACTGGTACTGGGTTTAAATAATCCTAGTCAGTTATTGATTGAAGGTTTTTTAATTTGATCTAAATTTTAGATTGTTGAGCCTTTAGACCTAAGGAATCAAGATATTTTGATGTTACAAATTCAAGTTTGGAGTTGATTTAAAATTTTGGTGGACGGTTCATTTTAAGTATAATTTAATTGTTAGGATTGAGTAATGAATGTGATATGTCTCAAATAATTTTTAATTAACAGTTTTAGTCAGTCATTATATTATTTAATTAATAATTTTATAAAAAGGTTTTTTTTAATAATTTGTTTAAAATATTTTCGTTCTGAATTCTATTAATTTTAATAAATTATTGAATTTTAATGAGTTATTATAACTTGATAAATCAAATTGATTGAAAAATTTAAAGATTTCTTATGTATATTTTTAATAATTCATTAGATTTCTAAAATTTCTATTTTTATTCTATATTCTTATTATTTAAGTTTGACAAGTAATTATATAATTTAACATGTTTTATTTTGGTCTCCTGTTTGTTTTAATTGTTACAATTTTTTTGTTAATTTCCAAAGATTTTATTTAATCGTTTATGAATTTCTTCACTTATTATTATTTTGTAATAATGATCCTTAAAACTTTTATATTTGAGATTTAATGATTATTTATTTTTGTGCTAAAATTACAAATTTTATTAAATTTTATTATTTTTATTTTCTTATGTCTTTTTTTTTTAATTTAGATGTTTAATTAATTATGTATCTTTAACAAGATGAATTTTATTTTATTATCATTATATTTTTTTATTCAAATTATGTATGTTATTTTAATGGTTGGAGGTTCTATAATCTTTAAAGAGATTTAATGATTAATTTAATGATTATTTAAGTTTTGATTAGATTAAATTAATTAGATATACCACTAATCCTAAGCAAATGTGTCACTAAATTTTTCTAGGTTTAATATTCTTCCTTAAAGAGTGCGATCGCATCCTAAAGCTAAATTTTCTAAGACTCGTCCTTAATTTTTTGTTCTTAAGTATCACTAAATCCTTTGGACATACGCGTGATTAAATGTGAATTTTAGGGTTATAAATAACAAAAATAGAAAAATATAAATAGCTAGAACAAAAATTTAACTTGAAAATAATTTTGAATTTAAAAGTGACAATAAAAAAAACTAAAGGTTTCTATAGACCATATAAGTTAGAAATTCGCACAATAATCACATCAAGGTTTTGAGCCTTAAGGTTTATCAGTTCTAGGACATACTTAACCAAACCTGGCGGGAAGCCAATGTACTCGATATTTTTTCCGGCTGAGCACCTCCACCCGGTTGGAATGGAGGCCGACATGACCCCTTCTTGAACATATTTTTTTTTTTGCTCACCTTGATTGTGTACCAATTCCTCCACTGTCATGCAAACAAAAAAGAATAAAACAAGTATTAGAAGGCACATTTTAATAATTATAAATGAAAATAATTAAATAAAAATTATTAAAAATTCAAACATACCTTCTTTGTGGCTGAACACCCAATTTATTGACTTTGCTTTGAACTTCTTCACTTTTGAAAAGCATACATTAGTATCTTTCCAACATCACCTCAAGCACAAGAAAAGGGGGAATAAAAGGGGAGAAAGAGATGAGTAGAGAGAAAAAGGGCTTTTACTTTATTCAAAACTTTCATTTTCTAATAAATTTCCCAAACTAACTCATTCTTTAACACAAACTACTTTTCATCTTCCTTTCACAAAACTCACATATTTTACTGTCCCAACACATTTCACTTTCTCAAAATTCCTACATCTCACTATCCAAAACACTCTTATACTTTTCAAATCATCATACAACTTTTACTTTTAAACAATTATGCATTTCACATAACATTTCACTATTCAAACATACCACTCTTTCCAAAACATTTACCAAACTCCACAACACCCTTCAAAACACACACAAGTACTTCTAATTTACACACAAAGACACTTTTCCAAAACACACACACACCGCAAGTTCAATTTTGTTCAAAAACTCCAAACACTTTACCTATTTCAATTTGTTTTATCAACAAAACCTTTCAAATACTATACTTCACCTTTCACACATCTTAAATTTCACTTTTCAAGACACATTTTCACACTTAACACATTTTACTTTTAAGTCAAACATAAATCACTTTCCAAAATCACTTGGTTCACTTTTCAAAAATGCACATATTCCACTTTACCATTCAAATTATAAACATTTTTCTCGTAAGGGCAACTTCCTTAAGTGCAAAGCAATCTAACACTTCCTCTTTCCCAAAAACAAACCACATGAAACAAAGCAAATTATTCATCAAAATGGGTCATTATTAGTAATAACATCTTTTCAAAGACTTCGGATTTATTTCCCATCAATTCAAGAAACCTTTCAATCACATGAAAACTTTACATAATGTCTATGTATGCTCATATTGAAAAACAAAGCACAATCATGCACTTTAACATTTTCCTCTTCACCGAATCAAAACAAGAAACCATTCTTGATGCAAGTGCAAAGAAAGAATTACTAGACTTCAAATTGAATCCAACTTGCAACTGTAAGCTTCCAACTTATTTATCCCGAATCAATACTTATGTCAAATGAAATTTGAGAGAAGAAAGGAAAATTATAGCAACTTTATTTCTTCCAACAAGTCAAAAAGCTTTCCAATTATGAACCATGATTCATGCAACCAACAATTTCTTAAATGTATCATACAATTCCGAGCCCTCTTTCTCTTGAATCATGAATGTACAAAAACCATTGCACACTTTTATAGAAAAAGAAAACAAGAGTATAGGTAGAAGTGAATAAGAAACAAAATTTAGCACTTTTGCAACTCATTAAAGGAATATTTCAGCATTATGTAATTTGCTACAATGACACCTCAACACTATACAATGCATCACAAGAATATTTATGTTTTTTTTTTTAGTTCACTACAAGAAGATTAACGCTTGCAAAACCTTCGAAAATAAATGCATACAACTCTTCCTTTTATCAATGCAAGAATTCAAAGTAATGAATAGAGAGGAGAAGAGTTATGACTGTGGCCCTTTTCCAATATTTTTGTAAATGAATTATGAGTACTCACCAAAAAAAAAACACATGAATTCTCTTCAATGCTCCAAAAAGAAAATTCAGGAAATATTTTCAGCAACAGTTTTCATAGAAAAAAAAAATTCATTACACCGATATCTCTAGCTTCATTAACAATTTAATTCAATTACCATAGGTCACTACGGGACGATTATGAAAAAGGTTGCTTGCTATCCCCAAAAGTTTAATTATTAAAATTGGAAACAATCGTTAAATGTTTTAACCATAAATAACAACGGGAAATCCATTTTGCATAACGACACAGTTAACCAACGGATGTAAGTTTTGTTTAATTATATAAAACCTCAACTGATAAACTCCAACAGGTTATATATAGATATATGAAAATGAAAATTGTCATCAAACATCAAGGAAATATTTTCACAACCATTTGTAAGATTTATTCTAATCTCAAAGATGATGTGAGTTGTTTCATTTCTTTTGGTTTCAATCAACATGAGATGGGTCGAATGAAAGCTGAGTTGGTGCTACATCAATGGATAACTGGAAATCCACCTAAAGGAAATCCCGGAGGCGATGTCTACACTAGGCTGCGAAGACCTAGGCACTAAAGATTAATTTGGGAAAATCGACCTCAAATAATGAGATCAATAGGAAAGATACCACGTCCTGTGTGAGATATTGGAAGCGTACGACCAAAAATCCGCATTATTGGTGAGCAATACACATTAAATGGATTGCTGCATAATTCCTACGATTCCTTCAGGACACTTTTGCAATATTCT